TCAAATTGCTAGATGCGGGAATCATCTATCCTATCTCTGATAGCAAGTGGGTGAGCCCCACACAAGTTGTCCCCAAGAAATCCGGGCTCACCGTTGTTGAAAATTCAGCGGGCGAGCTCGTGCCACAACGAACCACCACCGGGTGGCGTGTGTGCATTGACTATCGTAAACTCAACTCATCAACTAGGAAGGATCATTTCCCACTCCCATTTATTGATCAAATCCTAGAAAGGTTAGCCGGACAAAGCTTCTATTGTTTTCTTGATGGTTATTCCGGCTATAACCAAGTGGCCATCGCCCCCCAAGATCAAGAGAAAACAACATTCACATGTCCCTTTGGTACTTTTGCCTATCGACGCATGCCTTTTGGTCTATGCAATGCACCGGCAACGTTCCAAAGGTGCATGATGTCCATATTCTCCGATATGGTTGAAAGGTTCTTGGAAGTTTTCATGGATGACTGTTCCGTATTTGGCTCCTCCTTTGACTCGTGTCTCAAAAATTTATCTCTTGTGCTCCAAAGATGCAAAGAGACGAATCTCATTCTAAGTTAGGAGAAAAGCCACTTTATGGTCCAAGAAGGCATTATTTTAGGACATGTCATTTCTAAGCGGGGAATCGAGGTAGACAAGGCAAAAGTTGAGTTAATCTCTAATCTTCCTCCTCCGAATTCCGTCCGTCAAATCCGTTCTTTTCTTGGCCATGCCGGATTCTATCGTCGCTTCATCAAAGATTTTAGCAAAATCTCACGGCCCTTGTGTAATCTCTTAGCCAAGGATGTTCCGTTCAATTTTGATGACGCTTGCATGGAAGCTTTCATCAAACTTCGCATTCTCCTCTCCTCTGCCCCGATCATGAAACCCCCTAATTGGTCTCTTCCCTTTGAGATCATGTGTGATGCATCCGATTATGCATTAGGGGCGGTTTTGGGCCAACGTGTGGATAAACTTCCGCATGTCATTTATTATGCTAGCAAAACTCTCTGCGATGCCCAATTGAACTACACCACCACTGAAAAAGAATTGCTAGCTGTGGTGTACGCCTTGGATAAATTTCGCTCCTATCTTCTTGGCTCCAAGGTCATCGTCTTTTCAGATCATGCCGCTCTTAGGCATTTGTTAGCGAAAAAAGAGACAAAACCCCGCTTAATTCGATGGATCCTCTTACTTCAAGAGTTTGACATTGACATCCGGGATAAAAAAGGGACCGACAATGTTGTCGCCGATCATCTCTCTCGCTTACTTATTGAGAAATCTTCAGAATTTGCAGCCATCCGTGATTCCTTTCCGGATGAGCAACTTCTTCAAGTTTCACATTCTACTCTTCCGTGGTTTGCGGATATTGTCAATTATCTTGCGGTTGGCAAAATTCCAGCTCATTGGTCCAAACAAGAGAGGGACCGGTTTTTCTCCCAAGTCAAGCATTTCTTTTGGGAAGATCCGGAATTATTCAAGTATTGCCCGGACCAAATCATCCGGCGATGTATTCCTGAAACCGAGGCCACAAGCATTTTAAATTTTTGCCATACTCTTGCTTGTGGAGGCCATTTCAGTGCCAAAAAGACCGCTAACAAAATCCTTCAAAGCGGATTCTTTTGGCCTACCTTGTTCCGGGATGCATACAATTTTTGCAAATCGTGTGAACGATGTCAAAAACTTGGATCCATGTCCCGAAGAGACATGATGCCCCTCACCAACATTTTAATTGTTGAAATTTTTGATGTGTGGGGGATTGACTTCATGGGACCATTTCCATCTTCTTATGGCTATGAGTACATCCTTGTAGCGGTGGATTATGTGTCTAAATGGGTTGAAGCCGCGGCTACCAAAACCAATGATCATAAAGTCGTGATCCATTTCATTCAATCTCACATCTTTAGTCGTTTTGGTACACCCCGAGCAATCATTAGTGATGGCGGATCTCATTTCCGAAATCGTTATCTCAAATCCGTCCTTGCTAAGTATTCAGTCATTCATAAGGTTGCTACACCTTACCACCCTCAAACGAGTGGTCAAGTAGAGATTTCTAACCGGGAGATTAAGCACATTTTAGAAAAAACGGTTAGACCGGACCGCAAAGATTGGTCATTACGGCTAAACGATGCACTTTGGGCTTACCGGACAGCTTATAAGACACCCATTGGCATGTCACCATATCGACCCGTCTTTGGCAAAGCATGTCATCTCCCGGTAGAATTAGAGCACCGTGCTTATTGGGCCGTAAAAAGGTTCAATTTTGATCTCAAACAAGCCGGCTCTAATCGTGCGTTGCAATTAAATGAACTTGAGGAATTGCGTAATGACGCGTATGAAAATGCAAAAATTTACAAGGCAAAGACTAAAGCTTTCCATGACAAACACATCGTCAAAAAGTCTTTTGCCCCGGGACAAAAGGTCTGGCTTTTCAATTCCCGCTTGAAACTCTTTCCCGGTAAACTCCGGTCAAGATGGGATGGTCCATACATTGTCACTACCGTCTTTCCTCATGGAGCAATCGAACTTCATGATCCTGCAAGTGGATCACTCTTCAAGGTAAATGGCCAAAGGCTTAAGCCTTGCATTGACAGCACAATTCTAACCCGAAAAGTTGAGGAAGTCCCCTTGACGGACCCCATTTATGAGGAGTAGTGCCTGCTCTAGCTTGGTCTAGCTATCGACATTAAATTTAGCAAAGCAAGGGAAGCAATTCTTTTAATTTCCAAGCTTCCTTCTTTTTGAAATTGCTCGTGCCTTGCAAAATTTTCTGGGAAATGGTTTAGAAAAGCCAAAAATTTGATTTTTCTTAGACCTTCTCAACTCTAATTTTCATTCCCGGAAATTTCCATCGCTTCCTAGCAATTTCATCGGATCTTGGGAATGCTACTCATGTGCATAATGTCTCATTTGTAATACATTCTTGAAAATTTTCGCAAAATCATCCATGCATTGAAATTCTTGCACTGTTTAAAATTTTTTTTTTCCATGCATTTGCAATGTTTGAAAATTTTTCAAAATTCCCCATGCATTGTCCCATGCAAAATTTCAATTTCTTTCCATGCATGCAAAGCTTCAAAAATCCATCCATGCATTAGATTGGAATAATGTGCAACGTTTTAAAATTTTCCATGCATGGCTTGAATTGAAGCTGCTGCTTGCAATGATTTTTCGATGCATGGGGATGACATGAAAAATTTTCCATGCATGGGAATGGCATGCCAAATTTAAAAATTTTTACATCCATGCATTGGAATGGAATGAATTTGCAAAGTTCAAAATTCATCCATACATTGGAAATGTGTTACATTTTGAAAAAAAAAAAAAAAAAAAAAAAAAAAAAAAAAAAAAAAAAAAAAAATTTCCAATTATCTTCATGCATTAGCAAGATGTTGCAAAGTTTGACACATTTGTTTCAGCACTTGCATCCATTCAAAATGCTCACTGGGCCAAGATTCTAGTGCTCGAATGATCTAATCAAAATTCCATGAGCTACTACCCATTTTGGAGCACTCTAAATTCTATTTTGATTGCTCCAGATGTCTTCACCATCAATCCCAAGCTCACTGCCCATTTTTGGAGCACTCTAGCTTCCAATTTGAGTGCTCCAAATTCTTCCACCCATACTGCCGAACCTACTGCCCTCATTTCGAGCACTCTCAATTCTGGTATGAGTGCTCGAATTCCATGCCCCAGCCAACCCTCACTCTCTGCCACAATATCGAGCACTCGAAAAGGCCATTTCGAGTGCTCCAACTCCCATCCTCGCAGCCAACTCCCCATCCACACACCAAACCCACCTCCCTCACCACCCAGCTCACCACACTGCATGCATGCATGCACGCCCATGCATGCATGCCAAACCTCCAAACTTCTCATCACTCCACCTCCTATCAACCCTCCTCCCATGCATGCATGAACGCCCATGCATGCATGCAAACCCTCAACTCTCTCTCACCACCCAAACTCCACCTTCTCTCTCTCAACCTCCCAATCCACTCACTCATCTCCATGCAGTCGGCAACTCGAGCCCAACACACCATCACCACCTTACCCTTCCCACGCTACAACCCACCCACAATCCATGCAAGCCACCCTGCATGCCCCTCTCGGCAACATCATCCAATCACCCCAACTCACTCAATCCCGAGCCCAGCAAACAACCTCACAAAAACTTCAAACCATTCAACCTCACACCATGCACACCAACCTTCCTCTCTCTCTCTTCCCAAACCAAACCATACATCACCACCCTGCATGCATGCATGCACGTCCATGCATGCATGCCACCCCTCACACCCTCACTACTCTCGGCTTCCTCACAAAACACCATTTCCTCCCCAACAACAACCCCATTTCCTGCAACCTACCCAAACCATCCCTCTCAAACCCACATTCTCTCTCTCTCGGCAACACAACAACAACCCACCATCCAACACCATGCAACACTACCACCTCTCGGCCTCCAACCCTCATCCCTCCCCAACCATGCCAAACACCACCCTCACCACCCCTCTCACCTCATCACCCCTCCAACACCATCAACCTTCCTGCATCCACATGCATGCACGCCCATGCATGCATGCCAAACCTCACCCCCTCACACCACCCAGCTCTCGGCACCCCTCACCCTTCCCTGCAACCCACTGCTCAAATTTCGAGCACTCGAAGACCAAGCTTCGAGTGCTCGAACTCCTCCTGCCCACACCCTATGCCAAACCCAACTCTCTGCCCCCATTTCGAGCACTCGAAGTGGGCCTTCGAGTGCTTGAACCAAGCTCTCTTTTCTCTCTTTTAAAACCCATTCTCTCCCTCGCAGCTCCATCTCCCTCTCAACCCACAAAACCACCACCAACCCCTCTTCCACCTCACAACCAACCTTCCTATCTCTCGGCTCCTCCCTTTCCCCACACCAACCAACCAACCTCCCCACTCCACCTCCCTCTCAACCCATCAAACTCCCACACCCTCACCCCCTCACACCACCTTTCTCTCGGCACACCACCCACCAACCCCTCCATGCACCAAATGCATGCCACCACCTCCTCTCTCTACCCACAACACCTAATCCATCTCTCATCCACCACCAGCCCACCCACATTGCCACCACCCCTACATCTCTGCAGTTCCCCTTTCATATTCTGTCCCAAGGTATGTGAGCTTCCTTTTTTTTTTCTCCTTTCCTTGTCTTTATTTCATCATAAGGAGGATGGGATTGCATGTCGGTGATTTTGTTGATGCTTGGGTTGCTTGTTGTTGATGTTGCTCTATGCTAGAGCTTGTTATCTTGCCAAATTTTTTGGGTTTGCTCCTCCATCCCACTCACTTCCATCTTCTCCTTTTTGTGGTGCACGCCAGGTGTTCGCTGAAATTCCTCAACCAAGTCCACCTCTCTAAATGTCTCGTGTCGGTCCTTCTCGCCCTCCTCGACCCTCTTCAGGTGCCCGTGCTGTCACTCGTGAGCGACCACGTGATCCTTGGGATCGCAAACAACTCAACTACGAACTCTCATTTCCGCTCACGGATGCCTTTGACATTCTACCCACAACTTCGTGGGCTATCGCCGAATTGACTAACCGGCGTCTGCAACACATTTGCGCACCCCTTGCCAGGGTTGCCTACCCCCGTGTAGTGCGCCTCTTCTACCAGAATCTCCAGTGCCCTGAAGAGCCACCCATTTCTCTCACTACATCCATTGATGGCACCGCCTATGCTTTCACTATGACCGACATCATTCAGGTTTCTGGTTGCCCCATTGAGTGCCCCGATGACATTGTCAATCGTGAGAATCTCCCTTTATATGAGGAGCCGGTTACATTAACTGTGGCGCAGATTGCCGCTGCCATTTGCCCTATTGACGATCCTACTCGGCCCCGGTCTTTTATCCGCAAGACCAATCTTCCGGAACGCCTATGGTTCATTGACACTGTCTTCAAGCACAATGTTTGCCCTTTGGTGCACAGCACTGAGCGTCGGGGCCTCTTTCTGCAAGCCTTATATGCCATGGACCAAGGCCAATGGTTCTCCATCCCAGAGCTCATTTGGTCCACCTTTATGAAGTTTTGGCATGATGCTCATAATGCACGGGCTCCGCGAGTTGAAAATCGGAAATTGCCTTTGCCGTTTTTCATCACTCGACTCCTTCAGCACAAGGGTTTCGTTGTTCCTCCCCACGAACCAAAAGGCGACAAAATTAAAATTTTTACCCAGCGCCGGTGGATCAATGTTCTGAGCCATTCTAGTACCCCTCCGCCTCCGGCCCCCCTGTTCATCCACGCTCCACCTCCTCCTCCTTCTGAGGCAGTTTCCACCGCCGCAGCCACTGCGCGGGTAGAGCCTTCGGTCGACTCTCACCAGGACCAGGCTTTCATCCGGGCTTCCATTGCCGGTATTCATGCGCGACTCGATCGTTTTGAGCATTCTTTGTCCGCTTGCACTCAGGCTCTGTGTGAGTCTTCTTCACGTGCTGAAGAAGCTCGTCGTCTTGCTGCTGAAGATCGCCGTGTTGCTGCTGAGGACCGTCGTTTGGCTTCCGCTGAACGGCGTAAGACTCAATCTCTCCTCCATTCCGTCCTCGCCCGTTTACCTTCTGGCCAGTAGCTTGTTGCGCGTGTGGACCTTCTCTTTTGTTTCCTCTGTAACTATTTCTCTTGTATATTTTGTTTTCCTTTTACACTGTAAGAATTTGCTATGTATAGGTTGCTCTGGTCGACATGATCCCTGTACAGCTCTTTTTGTCATCATGTAAACTCTTTTTGCAATGCAAATTCTTTATGTTCTGTTAACTTTCGATACATTCGTTTTCTGTCTTTATGCTTGTGCTATTAATGCTGTTTGTGGTTGTTTCTTTTGGTTCTTCATGTTGCTTTCCAGGTTGCGCAGTCCAGTTCAAGTTTGGGGGGTTTTTGTCTCAAAATGCCGTTCCCTCCCCCTGGGTATTGTTGTTCCTTTTATACTCGTTGTCATTTTTGTCTCTCACTTGCATCCATGTCCACATTGAGGACACTGTGTCGTTTAAGTTTGGGGGTGCATCAAGCATTCTTGGCATATTTTTGGTTCCATAATTTTTGCTAAGCAATGATAGTATAACTTGACACTTGTCGGAGATGAAACATATGTTTAATACCTTGTGTATAGAAGCAATTGAAAATTTTGAAAATAAAGAAAAATTTGAGTTGAAATGATCATGTAAATACAATGTAGTCTGTATAAATGCCTCAATTAGATTCTTGCTGGATTTACACTCTTATAAGTTTCACAATGCACAGATGCACATTGGAAACTTAACTGTGAGGCATGCAACTTGATTGACCTTGACCTTGGCCTAGTTAATCTGATTTGATGAACCTGATAGATGGATACCTTTGGCATGTATCTATTCAAAAAAAAAAAAAAAAAAAAAAAAAAAAAAAAAAAAAAAAAAAAAAATGACCAGTTGACGTTCGTAGCCTTTCCAACTCGAGCTATTAAGCCCTAGGAGTGTCTCTACACTTAGCACCCTAAAGCCATCTGGTTTGGGAGTTGTTGGCCTAACGCTTGCTACAAGGGTTGGTTAGAAAGCTTAAGGGACTTAAACATTGCACGGTCATTCAAAAAAAAAATTTAATTAAACTAGTAATAAACATGGTTCGTTGGAGTTCGTAGCCTTTCCAACTTGAGCTATTAAGCCCTATGGAGTGTCTCTACACTTAGCACCCTAAAGCCATCTGGTTTGGGAGTTGTTGGCCTAACGCTTGCTACAAGGGTTGGTTAGAAAGCTTAAGGGACTTCAGCATTGCACAACCATTCTATGTTTCGCTTATGTGTTGAAATAAATTGTTAACAAGCAACAAAAGTTGTCTTGAAAATAAAATCATGCCTTAGGGACTTCATGTAAAAGGGAATTCATTGACTTGAAAACTTGTGCCTTGGAATTGGAAAAGAAAGTAAAAGCCGCATGTTGAGAATCCAATTCACTTTCACTGAAGCTAGAGTTGATTTCTATTCAAGAGATGATAATTGAGTTATTTATATAGACTTTGATGTTGATGCATGTATGTAGAAAAGTATTTAGCCAATTTTTGTATCAATGCTTCATATATGCAAGGTAGTTTTCCCAATGACCCCATCTCCAGTTTTTGTCTGTTTCAAGTTGTATTTGAGCTATGTTTCTATCTCATTTTACCATGGAGGATATTTTTGTAGTAGCATGCCCATGGTTGTCTTTTCTTTATGTTTTTCATTGTAGTTTTGCTAAGGGACTAGCAAAATGTAAGTTTGGGGGTGTGATAAGCGCCGAATAATGTATATTCAAGCGCCCTAAATTACATTAACAAAGTCCAGTTATTGATTATTTTATGTAGATTAACTCCAATTCTATGTTTTTATGCATTTTCAGGTTCATTGGCCAAAATGGAACAAGAATAAGGCCTTGTGGAATCTTGAGCAACAAAAGGTGCCAATGCTGAATTCTGGCAGCAGTAGAGCCTGGACTTTGCTTGCCATTTTGACCTTCCAAACTCGAGAACTGGACTTCCCTCATAACATGAAAGATTTAGAGCTCTGAATCAGCTTTCCAAATCTTCAAGTGGTTCATCATTCGGAGTTCGGAGCAGAGAGTTATGATCTTCACAACAGAGGTGCGCAGAACTGCCTAGCAGCACTGATGTACTTCCTTTCTCCCCATTTTCGACCAACCAGACTTGAGATTTGGGTCTTCATCAAAACATGAAGTTTTTAAAGCACTGAATCAGCTCTCCAAAGCTTCAAACAGATCGTCATTCGGAGTTCGGGGCACAAAGTTATAGCAGTTTTCCCAAAATAGGTCAGCACTGAGCAAGAGGAGCATGTTGCACATTGCACTAAGTTAGAGTGCTCGAAGTCACCAAGCGTGTGCTCGAAAATCAGGCAGAATGCCCTTCGGAAATGGCTCATTTCAGCCCACTTGCACATTGGTTTCCTCAATGCCATCTTCCTTCTTTATGAAGTGGTTGGAGGTGTTCCTTGGAGGAGAGAGGGTATTGTTGGAGCATAAAAGGCTACCCAAAGGCCACATATATGATTAAGCTTTATCTTGAGCAAGAGAAAGGAGAGAGAAGAGAGCAAGGAGAAGGGTGTTCTTGAGTGCTACAGTAAGAGCTCGAAAATGGAGATGAGGATGATGCTTCTTCCTTCTTCTAGCTCACCAATGGGTAACTAAACCTCATCTAGGGAGGTGATGAAACCCCTCCCTTGTAAGCATGTGTTAGTATAGTTTATTTTTGGGGATTACATTGTATTTTTGATAGTCTTTCCATGGTCAAGAGCCTCATTTTTGTTGTAATGAATGTTGAATGTTTTAAATGATTATTGTGAGTTATTCATCTTGTCTTGGATGGTTGCTTTTCTTAATCATATTGCTTGCACTTCCATGGTGACAATGGAAGTTAGATCATGGAATGGTTTTAATGGCATGGAGTTGGAGAACCTAGATAGTTCATGGCTTAGGGTTTCCCTTTGATGGGCTATACTTGATTCTTAGCTTTATGTGCATTCACCATTTAAATTAGGGCTTGATAATCCTTGGCTTAGTAAGCATGTTCTAAGCTACATTTTAGTTTAGGTAGTTGATCATGTGAACCTTTGATGGTTTATTCTTGCCTTTCTAATTAAATGAACTTCTTAAGGATATTATAGCAACCTAGTATTGTTATGTATCATGACTATCATATATGTTGTTTTCCCCTTAAATTAATCTTAACCTAGCATGTGTATAGGGATGGAGGTGGATTCATTTCCCTAGCCTTCTTTACTTGTACTTCACTCCCTTGAATTCTTGCAATTTATTGTTTTATGCACTTTTAATTTCCTAGTTTAATGACAAACAAAACAAACCCTCTATGAACACCCCTTATCACTCTAAAATGACTCTAGACACTTAGGTTGCCATAGATTAGCGCAGTCCCAGTGGTTCGACTTACCCGACCAATAGCCCTATTTTACAATGATTCATGCTATTGCGAAGGTTGATGTTAGTTGATCAACCGATCAATGGGGGTCTACGGTTCAGGGGTCTACGGTTCAGGAGTTTGTTGGTGGTTCCCACAGTTTGTCGTGAGGATGTCCTACGGGAGTTTCACACTTCCCATTTTGCAGTTCATCCAGGTGGTACTAAAATGTATCACAATTTGAGACGTCAGTATTGGTGGAGCGGGATGAAGAATGATGTTGCACAGTTTGTGGCTAGATGCCTTACCTGTCAGCAGGTGAAGGCCGAGCATCAGAGGCCAGTAGGTTTGTTGCAACCATTACCTGTAGCGCAATGGAAATGGGAGCATATTGCTATGGATTTTGTGACAGGTCTTCCAAGGTCACGAAGGGGCAATGAGTCCGTATGGGTCATCATTGACAGATTGACCAAGACGGCTCACTTTTTGCCTATTAAGGCAACAGATGATGCATTGAAGCTTGGTGTTCTTTATGTGAAGGAGATTGTAAGGTTGCACGGAGTTCCTGTAACTATTGTGTCAGATAGGGATGCTAAGTTCACTTCGAAGTTCTGGGAAGGACTTCAAGTAGCGTTGCATCTTAGTACAGCATTCCATCCACAGACGGACGGTCAGTCAGAGCGTGCTATCTAGATTTTGGAGGATATGCTTTGGGCATGTGTACTTGATTTGGGAGGTAGTTGGGAGGATCACCTTCCACTTATTGAGTTTGCCTACAACAACAGTTATCAGGCGAGCATCCAGATGGCTCCATTTGAGGCGTTGTATGGTAGACCTTGTAAGTCTCCTGTTTGTTGGACTGAGGTAGGTGAGACAGCCGCCTTAGGACCCGACATTGTACTCGAGACTACTAAGAAGATTAAGTTGATAAGACAGAGGTTACTTACAGCTCAGAGCCGACAGAAGAGCTATGCGGATAAGCGGAGACGACCGTTATCCTTTGAGGTGGGAGACCACGTTTTTCTACGGGTTTCTCCACGGAAGGGATTGATGAGATTCGGAAAAAGTGGCAAGTTGTCGCCACGATTTATTGGACCGTTTAAGATTTTGGACCAAGTAGGAGAGGTTGCCTACAGGCTTGCTTTGCCACCACAGTTGGATAGGGTCCACAATTTTTTTCATGTATCGATGTTACGGAAGTACGAACCGGATCCATCTCACATTTTGAGTTGGGTAGATGTGGACATTGATGAGGATGTTTCCTACGAGGAAGGACCAGTTCAGATTCTTGACACACAACAGAAGGTGTTGAGGAACAAGACGATACCAATGGTGAAAGTCCTTTGGAGACACCACGAAGTCAAGGAGGCTACTTGGGAGCTCGAACAGGAGGTTCGATCTAAGTACCCAGCGCTGTTTTCTTCTCCAGGTATGTCTTGATTTCGGAGACGAAATCTTTTTTAAAGTTGGGGAGAATGTAAAGTTTTTGACTTTTCAATTGTGGGACCCACCACCCACTCAAACATATGGTTTAGAGACTTTTTTTTTATGCTCATTCTCTCTCCCCGCTGAATCCTCTCTCTCGGCCAGTGCTCTATCTCTCTGCCTTTTTCTTTTTCTTTTTCCTTTGCAACTTGAATCTTTGATTAATTCATCATCTCTTGGTAGATTTGGGTGCCGTTTGAGGCAAAACGAAGCTTGTGTCGAGCTCTACGCATCCATACCAATAATTCCAGATTTGGTGCACCCTTTGAACTTCGAAATTTAGGACCCATTTCTAGGGTTTTGCCTATTTTGAGGTAGGGGCATCTTAATCCACTCTAGTCTTGTTCTATTGTGAATTTTACCTCCATGTTGTATTAAATATGCTTAATTTAGAGTTAATTATATCTATGATGGTATTAATGATGTCTAGAGGGTTTTCACAATCTTGAATATGGTTGGTTCATGTGCAAATTATATTTAGTTGTTGATTTACTATGTGCTAGCATGCTGAAATTGATGTATGAGAGTATGCTTATTTAAATTGCGCCAAATTTCCCAATTCATGATGTTGAGCTCATATATATATATACATGCACATGCTTAAATGTATTTTGTTGTATCTTAATGTGTTAATAATTACTTGGGAGATGTTGAACATGTTGAATGTTTAATTTTATGATGGAAAATTTTAAATGCCATGACATTGAATGTATGGAACATATATACATGCACATACCATTGGGTTTGCATGAAATGGGAGAAATTGTTCTTGAAATAAATATGGGGAATTTCAGGGAAGTGTTTTTGATAAAATGGTTTTATGCGAAACCCGGTCGTTGCGGGGTTACCAACGGACCGGAGGTTAATATAGCCTAGAGGGGACTAGAGAGTCGCCCTAGTGTGGTTGAGCTAGCTGGGCCCCATAATGACGCCGCGGGGTTACCAAGGGTCAGGGACACTAGCCAATCCTCCTCTCGTGTCGTGGCGGGGTTACCAAAGGGCGGGCTGTATTAACGTTTGAAAGTGATGATTTTGAGAATGAAAATGGGGAGTGTCATTGACATGCATTGCATTTCATTGCATTGCATTGCATTGGTTATAATTGGAATTGAATTGTATGTTGTATTTGATCCCCCACGTTGTATGATCCCTATCTCCCATTGGCCTATGCTTTGCTTGAATTCACAAGGACACAAGATTTGTATCTTAAGTGTCACCTACTGAGCATATAGCTCACCCTACTATTATACATTTTTTTTAGGTCTTGGAAAAGAACCGGTGAACGACAACCCACCTCAAGCCTGAGCGATACTAGAAGCTCACTTTTGTGTCTTTTGTATATTTCCCATTATTTTTGCAAAGCACTAAAAGTATAAAGGTATATATGTATATTTTGCAAAACTTTGTCATGTAACCTTGTTGATGAATGGGAAGGATAATTTTAGTTAAAGTAATTATCGGTGTTATTTGATTGTGTATGATCATATACTGTTGCCGTGAATTTGGAAATTGAGCCATGATAGGTTAAAAATGAATTTAAACAGGGTATGGTAGGCCTATTTATAGGGGAGGTTATGCCGAATTTTTTGTAAAATTCTTGGCATCAACTAGGGTCGTTACAGTTTGGCTCTGACCATCATCAAAAGCTTTGCCATCCCGAAGTCAAAAATCCGAGCGTTGTAATAATCATCAATGAGTATATTCTGAGACTTTATATCACAGTGAATGATTTGGGTGCTACACTCTTCGTGCAAGTACAAGAGTCCTCTTCCAATCCCATAGCCAATTCTGATTCTCTGGTTCCAACTCGGTCTTGTGTCTCCGAAAAGGAAGCTCGCTAACGTGCCATTGTTCATGTACTCGTACACCAGTAATCGATTCGGTCCCTCATTGCAAAATCCAATCAATCGGACCAAATTCTTGTGATGTGTCTGGCCAATCACACTCACTTCAGCTTTAAATTCCTTGTCACGTTGTTGAACCAATCTTTCTAACTTCTTGACTGCAACGAAATTTCCGGAACCCCTATTCACTTCCCCTTTGTAACAACGGTAAAAGCTCCTTTTCCTACTTCTTCATTGAAGCCATTCGTAGCTTGTGCAAGCTCTTTGTATGTGAAACAGCGCAAACTAGTGTCCACGACGCTTTCGAATTGGGGAATTCTGGTGTCCTTTCTCTTGTAAATGAAGCAAAAGCCCAGAAGAATTGCAGCCACTAATACAAAGTTGAAGAACACAGAGCTGCCTAATAGTCGAAGTATTTGATGTGCTTAAAATCTAGTGATTAAATACTGTATTTAATTTCTTATTAATGAAATTAATCAAGCAACCCACTTGTCATGGTTATTTAAACATTTTACAACATTTTTATTTTTATTTTTTTTCACTACATTTTAGAAAAGTTGGCGGGAGGTGTCATTGTAAAAAATAAAAATAAAAATTCTATTTGGTTGTCAAAGTGACAAATCACATAGAATCTTACTGTAAATTATGTTTAAATTTAGTCGAGTCAAAAGATTAATAAAAAATATACTTGTGTCTGACAGTGTGTTTGTGTTAGTTTTTGTTTTGTTTTTTCCAATCACTATTATTTGTTTAGCTTCGGAAAATAAAATACTTTTCAGAAAAAAGAGATTGTGTTCTCAAATTCATTTTACTACTATTTTCATTGTTATTTGATTTTATTTCTTTTTTTTTCAAAAAATGAACTAAAAAAGGTTATAATACGTCGTCGTCTAGACACTGCTGGAATAAAGTCTCGCGCAAGCCTCGCCAAACCGACTTTATTTCTGGGGTTGAAGAAGATCTCAGCAAATTCTCAGAAAATTTCCCGCGCGCTTCGTCTTTCGCATTCTCCGATCGATGGCTCCCAAATCAGACAGCGCCGAAGGTGAACTCTCTCTCTCTCTCTTTCTCTTTCTCTCTCTACATTTTTGCATGTATCTAAAATTCAAAACACCTAATAATTTCAATTTACGTACACTTGTTCCGATTATATATATCTTTATCTATTTATGTAGATTTTATCTTCATCAATCCATATGATATGCATCGATTGTTGAATCGAGCTCGTATTTGTTGAATTTGAGTATCAGAATATCACTTCCTGATTTTTGCTAGATTTTCAGGAATCGTACTCAACTTCGTGAATGAGGTACAGCATTCTTCGAATACTCTTCTAAATACTGCGTGTTTGTGTGTGTTTGTTCTATGTTCGTCGGCTATTTTATGTTTTCATGGGTGAGAGTATCCGATTTTTGACTCCACAACTGGTTTTTCAGCTTTGGGTATTTTTACGCTGTAAACCTGAGAGAGCGATGAAATGGACTGGGATTTAAATTTTCATGTCTGGTTAGGGTTTGATGTAATGCTAAAAGATCTAGTTTAATATTTTGTTTTTCTTCGTACTGTATTATATGGGATCCAAAAGAGCATTGTAATTTCTGTTTGGTTGCAGAGAAAACTTGAAAGGGAACAAAATGAATTCTTAATCATGTGTTCTGTATTTTTCTTTTATAGTTAAATGTACCAGTTACCTGAACTATGCCAATTGCTTGTGCAATTCATTAGTGGTATCATTTTCTTCTTGAATCTAAAATGAAATTTTATAATATAACTTTTAGTTTCTCTTCTTTTCCTGAATTTTCTCATTAACCAAACAGCAAAGGGAATATGAAGTAGAAATCAGGCTGTTCTTGTAGAATTTTAATTTTCAATGGATTCCTATATTAGGACTTCAAAAATTTTCTGGTATTCAAAAATTAGAATGCATTATAATGTGTTACTAAGTAATCCAATTGCAAATTCACTTTCTCAGCACATTTCACACTTATTTAATTACTGTTTTGATTTGTTTAATTTCTTTATCTGCCAACCTTTGATGGTCAATTGCTCTGATTGGTTCAACAACAAAAAATAAAGAGAATCTATTCTGACCAATGGTTATATTTGTTATGAATTTTACGGAAATCAATTTTTTATCTTGAATTTATGTTTTTCATGATCCTGTGCCTAGCTATGAAAATGTTGTGCCTATTTTTCACTTGCTGTTTGAGTGGATATTCACCAATATATATATATATTTCTTTATCCAGCAAAATAGACCATTGAATTCTCAAAATGTGGCTGATTCATTGCAAAAGTTCAACCTCAAAAAGGCTGCTGTGCAGAAGGCACTGGATACTCTTGCGGATAGTGGGCGGATTTCGTTTAAGGAGTATGGTAAGCAGAAAATATACATGGCCCGTCAAGATCAATTTGACATTCCTAACACCGAAGAGCTTAGTCGGATGAAGGAAGAAAACGCTAACCTCCAACAGAAGCTGGTCAAACGGAAGAAAGAAATTAGCGAGGTTGAGGGAGGTATTCTCTAAATGACCCATATAATAATTTTGTTTCTAAGAATGGTGAATTTATATTCTCTGTTATGTGAATATTTTGATGCAGATTTTTAGGTTCTGCTTTATTTATTGAAATTTTCATAACCTTCGCTTAGTAATAATGTGAGAAACTCTATTGTTGCAGAAATTAAAGCTCTGCAATCAAACTTAACGCTGGAAAAGATACATGGCAAACAAGCCATTCTGAGAAAGGAGGTAAGTGATAGTCATACCTGGTTTCTCTTCTCCAAACTGATATTAAAGAGGTCTCTATTAGCAACGTAGGACAAAAACATTCAGAAGTAATTTGATCCTATATCAGGTGGAGGAAATGGAGGACAACTTAACTAAATTGCGGGGAGGAGTTACTCTTGTAAGCCCAGAAGAGAGGAATGCCGTTGAAAAATTTTATTTGGACACAATAAGTCAGTGGAGAAAGCGTAAAAGGACGTTCAAAGATCTATGGGATGCTATAACTGAGAACTCACCCAAGGATCTCAAAGAATTTAAGGTTCTGTAATACTATACACAAATATGTGTATTTCACTTGGCCTTGCAAGTGTTGATTTTTAACATGTGTTTACATTTACAGGAGGAACTTGGGATTGAATATGACGAAGATCTTGGTGTGAGTTTGCAGTCATTCTGTGATCTAATGCAACAAGGAAAGAAACGAGCTAGAGGCCGGTGACTTATCTATGAGGATTTAGGCTAATATGTTGCTTTGTGTTCTCCTAGAGGTAAACTTGATACACAAATTTGTAGATCACTAGATCCCTTATTTGATTTGTGCTCCTGAATCCCAGTAAGGTTACTATTACCGGTTATTTCATGCTGTACATTTGTTTTATAAGCAGTGATGGTCTTGTCCCTGGTATCAACTCATCTGAAATTCCAAGTCTTCTGAAATTCCTGTTGTATTCTTGTCCCTGGTATCAACTCATCCTCCGAAAAGCTTGTTCTTGACCGGCATTTATGGTTAAATAGCTAATTAGTCTAAGATTGCCTGTGGGGATATAAAAGTTCTTTTTCTTAATGAATTCCTTTTATGCAATATGACTCGATATTAGGCTATGTTTGTTATGACTATAAAAAAGCACTTCAAAAATTGATTCTGCATGTCTGATTTCATTTCTTGGTAAACCATTAGGGTTTTTGTTGGTGGCTGTGAAGACTAAGGGGACTCCTGGGTTGGGCATCGGCATGTTTTTTTTTTGTCCTTCATATGCATGCATTACGAGTATCCTCTCAATTAATTCACAGTTACAGTCTATATTATCACTCTTAACTCATCAAATTTGTACAACTTTCTAATTTACTCATCTACATCATATTGTTGATGCACTTTTCTGGTCGCCTTTCTCTGCATTCAAATGCCATGAACTTTGTTTGCATCCTGGATCACTCAGCAGAATGTACAATTGGGTTCTCTGGTCCCCAGCTCCTGTTTGAGATCTTAAAAGGATGTTCTTGTGAGATGGGTGTTAGAACTTTCCACCAACTCGTATTGGAACAGGTTTGGGATCACCTTATTAGAGGTTATGGGCGGTTTGGGAAGAGAGTTTAAAACCCGCAAACCCCCCAAACCTGCCCCAGTTTAGTAAATATATAAATAAATGTTTCTTTATTAGCTATAGTTTTTATTTTCCCTTCATTTCTTATGATAATTGTAAATTTTAACAACATTTTGTTATTAAAATTATTAAATTAGACTATATTTATTTATTATTATTTTTTACAAATTTTATCTTAAGTTTGTTTAAATTTGAATTGTTTCATATATATATATATATATGGGAGTGCCCTGAACCCACCCCAACTCTATGCGGGACGGGACGGGACAGGACAGGATTAGAAAAAAGATTTTTTTTTGTGGGACGGGTTTGGGAAAAAGGTGCCCCGTACAAACCCGTCCCATTAACATTCAGGTTCATGGCTAAGTACGTTTTGCAACCCAACTTTTATCGACAATCCTGCCACAAATTCTTTTGATAGCAAGCCTCGCCTGTTGTAGTGAATGGTCAATGAATTGAACTTCACTTTCAAAGTAGCAAAACCACTTCTTTCAAGTTTTTTCAGCCATATAGCTTAATTCAGTTCAAATTGCATATACGTTTTCTTAATCAACACAGGGTTGGATCAAAAATGTTAAATAATTGACTGGTATGCTTCTACTTGTCTAGGGATGGCAACAGGACATCTTCAAAGAAGAGGAGAGGAGTTCGAGCCCTGGCGTGGGCAAAAAAGTGTGTGTGTGTTCGCTTTATCATCCCAAAAAAAAAAAAAAAAAAAAACAATGTAAAAAGTACAATTATGAACCATCGTTAGAGAATAGTTATTACTTCTTATTGAAATCTTAGTCCCATAATCGAGCCATTTATATTGTTTTTGTTTCGTGTTTTTATTTTGACCTGAAATAGAAGTAGCCTTTCTGCTTTGGAGTATGTTCAATACTTTTCGGAAGCAAGTTTGGTAACATTATGTTTGTTGCAAGATTTTAGGAAGCAAAAATATGAAAATATGTTTGATAAAAAAGGTAATTTAAGATTTTATTTTATTTTATTTTATTATTATTATTATTATTATTTTTCCTTCGTTACAGTGTTTTTGCTACAATGTAGAAGCAATCGGAAATATCAATTTGGTGCTTCCGGTTTCTATCCCTTTTTTGAAAACGTTTCGGTACTATTCAAATCACACCAAATATTACCAAACCATTGCCACACATTGTCCGAATCAATTATGCCCTTAACCAGTTGGTATGAACTCTATTTGCCAAAGAAAGTGAACACCAACATTAACCTGTAAAGCGTATATATATAATTTTTGCTTTACAATATTTCATGATTTATGTGTGGACATTTCTCAACTATGTAAACGCATTTTTTAGGAAAATTGTGAGTATCGAGAGGAGTGTGCAAAGCGACAAGTTGTGATAAATGATATCAGAGTCAATTCCAAGTTGAAAATGAGAGAACGTGCACAAGTCTACGAGAGTCAAACCAGCAAGATACTTAGATTTCAAGAACTCCCATTTGTGTAAAAAAAAAAAAATCGTGAGCATGAGAGGACCAAAATTATTATTATTATCCCTTTTCGTGACAATTAAATTTTTCTACTCCTGCGATTATAGGAAGGTTTTTCATCGTAAATGATTAAATACACAACTATATATAGGCTCATAAGAACTTGAGAATTTGAAGTACAAAAATCTTGTAACTTATTAGGAATTGCATTGAAACTTTTAATTTTTCAGGATTGGATTTCGGTTAAGTTCTTTAACAAGAACTATCATTTTATTAACATGCTTAAAATTAGAAACACTGAATCGGTGCCTTGAATTTGGAATTGGAGTAAATTTAGTTTAAACTTTGTACTGCGAAACATGACAAAAGTAATTTCAATTTTTGGTTTTTAATAACTTAAAATGGCCACTAAGTATTTGTAGAACAAATTAAACAAATTATGAAGTCATTTCAAGAATCAAGGAACAATGAAGATAAATTTACTATGCTATAGTTGGAATGTCTAGTGGAACATATTGGCAAGTGTGTGTGGGGGGCAAATTGGTGTGACTTACATTAAGATCTTAAGTTTCCATATTGCTATTTTTGTGCATTATCAGAGGCAATTGTACATAAACAGATCATTGTGTTGCAAGCTATAGAAAAACTAGGGATAGGAGTTAGTCAACCACGGACACACGGGGAACTGGGCACTCTTTTGGACTTTTGTTGGAAGCAGTTAAATATCAATTATCAAACATTATTATTCCTGAAAATATTGGTAACAGAAAATTTGCAGCGACATACTCAGATTTATACCCAAAACTAGAATAACAAACAGAATCTTACAGAGACAGCACAAAAAAGATTGATAAGACAAACAAAGCGAAGACCTGAATCTGCTCTAAATCAATATCGTAGTACTAAATGGGGAGGGACATGGGGGAACATTAACTTCAACAACTCCTTCAAGCATCTGAGTTACCTTCCTCATCGAGGGTCTTAAAGACGGGTCTTCTTGAATACACCAAATGGCAACCATTACAAACCTCTCTAGCTTCGCCCTATCGTTTATGGCCTCCACGTCACCTTCAACCAGCGCGTCTATGGTTCCTTCTTGATAGCAGTCATAAGCCCAATCAGTTAGGATTGCTTTCTCTACTTCACTGGTATCCATATCTACGCTCCTCCGGCAACAAATGATCTCTAGCAGCAGCACACCAAAGCTATAAACATCGACTTTCACTGTGATTGGCATGCTCCTGAACCATTCCGGTGCAACGTACCCTCTAGTTCCTCTAATGTCAGTGTGTGTTTGGCTCTGACCAATCATCAAAAGCTTTGCCAATCCGAAGTCAGAAATCCGAGCGTTGTAATAATCATCAATGAGTATATTCTGAGGCTTTATATCGCAATGGATGATCTGGGTGCTACACTCTTCGTGCAAGTACAAGAGTCCTCTTCCAATCCCATAGGCAATTCTGATTCTCTGGTTCCAACTCGGTCTTGTATCTCCGAAAAGGAAGCTCGCTAACGTACCATTGCTCATGTACTCGTAGACCAGTAATCGATTCGGTCCCTCATTGCAAAATCCAATCAGTCGGACCAAATTCTTGTGATGTGTCTGGCCAATCACATTCACTTCAGCTTTAAATTCCTTCTCACCTTGAACCAATCTTTCTAACTTCTTGACTGCAACGAAATTTCCCGAACCCCTATTCATTTCCCCTTTGTAGACAACGCTCAAAGCTCCTTTTCCTACTTCTTCATTGAAGCCATTCGTAGCTTGTGCAAGCTCTTGGTATGTGAAACAACGCAAATTAGTGTCCACGACGCTTTCGACTTGGGGAATTCTGGTGTCCTTTCTCTTGTAAATGAAGCAAAAGCCCAGAAGAATTGCAGTCATTAATACAAAGTTGAAGAACACAGAGCTGCCTAATAGCACCGATCCCACGACGACTTTAGTCCTGTCGTACTTCTTTCCCGGCTTCTTCTCATCCGGTGGACAAGGACCCGGTGGGGAAGAATTAATATCTTTCCTGACTTTGACAAATGCCGTGCTGCTTTCAGTTCTAACAACTCTCCCATTTGAGAGTGGCATCCTCTTCTTCCAACAGTTATTATCTCTGTAAATGGAAACAGAGCACAAGCAGTCTCGCAAGCAAGAATTCCTGCACTCCTCTTTATCGAAAGGCTGCAACAGCACGTAATCAGAAAGTGGCCAGTCGGTGTTGGATAGCTCAACAAGATCATATAGTTCTTCATGGTCATCTTCGCAGCCCTGCGCAAAATTCGGTTTGCAGCCATTAAATTGATCACTTGGATCGAGTAAGGAATACCCTCGTGGGCACGAACAAGATGGCCTTCCATCCGTTTTAAGCTCGCAAAGGCTGTTATATCCGCAAGTGCCACTTCCTGCAAACTCACGAATTGCTGTGCAAATATTTTCTGGTTCAGACCAGAGCACAGACCAACTTTCGTTGCCATTGGATGTCTTGGGATGATAGTATTCTGTGAACACACCGTCGAAATTGAGAGTTGCTCTGAGATAGTTATCCGTGGCTGAAACAATTCCTCCTTGTGAGATCATGGACTTCTGGCCGTTCGCTCTCAGCACGTATAAGTATCCGGATTGATTGAAGACGAATCGAGAACCTGCATTCGACGCATCATTATCATCTTGAGTCCCGCTTGTAAAGTAGGGTTCATTAGGATAGTCTGTAGGCAGGTTTATGGTTCTGAGCACAAGATTTCCGTTGTCAAGCATGCTGAGTTGGAACCTTCCTTCGGAGAAACTAGTCTCCGTTTTTCGAGTGGTTAGCACATATCCCTTCTCCAATTCCTGAGTAGGCAACATGGTGTCGGTAGGAACCCGGAAGCTTTCCCATAACTCTTGCAAATTCCTATCTTTGAGCACAAAGTTACCGGTATTGTTCATGTAGCCATATGCAACTGAGCCCACAAGGGGATCAGATTTCCATATCTCGTCGCCTTGGGGGTTAGTAAGCACTAGCCCTCTGTCAGCAGTAAGCTCAACTTTGGAACCTCTAGGGACTGTGTTGCCTTTATTTGCATACCACACTACGGTTTTTTCTGGTATCTTGTCATACCATATGGAAAGCAAGAACAGATTGGTGCGCCCCTGTTCCTTAAACCCGAATGCGAAATCGCCGGATTGAGAAAGCCACGAATCCGCCTCAGCAGCAGCAGAAAGAGAGGCACCGATCGATACATTACCACCGTTGGTTTGAGCAACACCAGAAAATGGTAGCAGAAATAGAAAGAAGAGGACATGAGGAAGAGGACAGGCCATTGCCTCAACTTATTGGTTTGTGAATTGCCACCAAAAACTTGGAATAAAGATGTTAAATAATAGACTGCGTCCTCTTTTGAATAAGGATTGATTTCACTGACGTCAGGTTTGGGAAAATACTATTTTTAAATATTTTTCAAAAATAATTATTACTTACATTACAAATTTTTGTTTCGTCTTTCACTTACACCCCAATAATTAGTTAAAAAGTTCT